ATCATAGACAAGTGAGCTGATAATTGGAATACTATTAACTTGTTTGTCTATGAAGTAATAGTTAATGAACAATCTATTGTGTGCGAAATTATTCTTTTTGCTAGCAATAAACTATGTATTGTGCTAAACACATTATAAAATACCAATCACAATATTGAACTGAATAAACAACTGTTTATGATGTTTTTTTCTTTTTTATGTACCAAGTATTACCTATCACTACGACGTTGACTTGTGTACTTTTGCAAAATCTCAAGACATCACAACGCACAGATGTCCAGCTCCAATCGTCTCCAATGAGAAGTCCACCAGGTTGAAGAAGTACCCAGTAGAGCTCAAGTTCAATATATGTTTCACCTTGTAAATGAGCACTATCCAGATAAATGACTTGCGGTAGGATCTTCTTCACAAGTAAGAACCTTGCTCCTAATATCGAAGTGGTCGAAAAAGGTATTACGTATTTAGTTAAATTGTTGGCTTTGATATTAGCAATGAATTGTTCGTACACAATTGGTCTACCATAGTCAATATGCATCATCTTTTGCAAGGCAGGAGAAATCCAATGTTCTAATCCGCCCAGCCACGTATCAATGCAAAGCAAAGTAGATCTTACCCATCTTCTGTCATTACGAAGAGTCAAGCCTATATTTATTGATGACTTTCCCATGAAACTACCTACTTCAACAACGAGACGAATAGGTAAGTCAGTTTTATTTAATATTGAAGCGAACAATGATTGTGTAAGCGATGTATGTGGATAAGAGCCATCAAATGTTTTGTTAAAGTAATTCGGCCATGCTTCATATAAATTAATTGCATTAGGTCCAAACAATAATGCATGTAGCTGTTCAAACGAAATTGAGTCCATTGTTGCTCTTGCAATCCAAGATGCATCCTTGAGAGTTGCAAAGTACTCTTGAAACAGTTCCTTTTGGATTATACGAGTGTCAAATAGATGACAGTCCTTCGACTGATTGTTATTAGTGATGATTTCTCCAGCATACGGTCTATTGTATGTTCGTACAAAGTTCGTCAAACCGTCCTTTAGATATATCGATGCAATGGTCAATAGAAGTAGTGACATTACCCATCTATAGATAATATATGGTTTTCTAGTCATATGAAGATAATAGCTCTACAATTTTAAACGATAATTATGTGTAACAATTAGTAATTCTTCAGAAAACATACCAGAGCTAACGTTAACTTCATTCATATGAAATAAAACTTTCTGAGATTGTAGAAATTATGCCGGTAAGCATACCTGTAAGCTCAAAAATATTTAAAGTTTTGCAAATGAATCCATGTGAGGAAGGCAATGTGTGACCTCTCAAACAAACAGGCTTTTAGCTAACTCCTCTGTTTCAAATGAGAGAAATCTGAAAGTTTGGTCATAGATACTACTCATTGATATGATCATTTTTTTATAACAGACGTGTTTCTCCCTCGTGCGATGTTATTTGGGAAATTGATATAGAAAAATGCTAATTTTCGACATTTTTTTTGAGCTCAAAAATATCTCTAAATCTCAAACAAATTTTATATTTTATAAATGTGTTAGAATTCTGGAACTGTCATCCATATAAAAATGCTGAAACTCCGAACTCTGTAACTTGTTTTACCCAAACACACAACAAATGAAAAAATACCTGATATTGTAATTTTTTTTAATTGACTCGACATAATATGGTGAATCACGGGTTTTCTTCAGATAATGCGCTACTGTTTCGATGATAACTTCGATAATCAGGAGACTGAAACAGATGAACTCATCTCCAGAACTTCCTCTCAATGTGGCTTCACATCATTGAATTTATTTGGATAACATATATCAAACCAAATGTCAATAAAACGATAGTTCAAAATAAGAATGATTTAGGAATCAGAATAATGGCAAAAATTGAACTGATCAAAAAAAGCTAACGTTTTCTGGAAATATATAGATAAACACAGGCGAAATTTGTGTTTCACGATCCTAGGTAATATGTTTGAGTAGCGCTTTTTTCAAGTTTGTTCGTAGAAATAAAAACTCGGGAGGGCTCATCTAGAATACAAATAACAATTAGTCAATAAACCTCAACAAATAGTGGAATTGTACAAAATTACTTTTCAAAAGAAACTTTTAATACCCTTGCAGTTAAATAACTCTCTAACGTCTCATCTAACTACCTGTATACTCAACTCTTTATATTACTGTCTACTTATATAACTATTTAACTAGCTATATCTTTATCTACTTATGTATCAGCCAAATTGGTGATGTATCCAACTAAGTATCTATTTATTTACACTCTGAGAAAAGTCATAGAATAATGAACCTTTAAAACGTTTATGAAAGTGCAATGTATAAAAAGAACATTTTCTACCGTTAATGAAGTGTTCGTAAATCGTTTACAAAGCTTATATGAAACGATTTATGATCTTCAAATACCATACGTGAAAGTTTTATGAAAGAGTTTCTAATATTCATACATTCTTAAAGGGTTTTGCTATACGTGGTACTTTCATAAATCCTTGGTAAGAGCGCATCAACATTCTGCCTGATCTCAGATAACCTTAACATCAATTATCAAAAGGGTATCTAAGATGTTTCATAAAGACTATGGTTCATACGAAGTGTTCATGAAAGAAACAAGAAAAAAGTATATTATCTTCTTTCGTTTCGGTCATAGTACACTCAAGCATCATCAGCGAAAATGAATCAAAATGAAGTAAATTATAGTAAAATACATTAATTGATTCCTCTCTAAAGATGATAGACAACTATTATGATAACTAATCAAAGAAAAATAACAGTAAAATGAATTCTCTTAGCATATTTTCGTCCATAAAAAGCTGATTAACTATTTGGAAAGCAAATGACGGGAGTAAAATAAACACCAAAGAATTTATTTCATTTTTCTCATTAGATGCTCATCAACTATGAGCAGACTTAGATATAGAATAAAGAAGCAAACTGAACTGCGTTATTTAATTTCTTTCATAATATGATGAACACCTATGGCTATAACGAAAGGAAAATAGAACTACATTGACTTATTGGATTCCTCCCATAAGATGCTTGACAGCTAACCAACTAAATAAATGAAAACAAGAAACGTAAAATCCTTTTTCTGTTTATATTTCTCTTTTCGATTGACCACAGCAATATGAAAAACTAACTCAAAAAAAGAGAGGAGCAAACTAAAGTAATTTAGTGTTTTTGTTGCATATGGGGTGTCACTTTATCTTTACTTTATCAAGTAAAGTAAAGTTAATCTACTTTACTTTACTCGATAAAGTAAAGTAGATCTACTTTATCCGAAAAGTAAAGTAAAGTATCTCTAACTTTATCAAACAAGTAGGATGAAGTAAAATAAGACAAAGTAAAGCATGTAGTTGATGATTATTGATTTATTAGTTCATTATCACACATTAATCACATTCCAATACGTCAAAAGTTGCGTCGAATTATGGACCGAAGGTCTCGAAAAATCTGAATCTAATTTTATTACTTTGAGAGTCGGCCTTGAATCCTGAATATTTTTCATAATTTTATTTTCTATTTTTGTCATAACCCAACTTTTCACATTCGGACTTCCCCTCAGGTATCGAAAAAAAATTTTTGTCATTGTTCTATTACAAGTCTTTATAATTCAATAGTACCAAGTGCGCTGATTACAAATATCTCATATGTTTTCAAAAGTACTCATATAATAAGAAAGATCGGAAGTACTCCCTAACACTATTAAAAACTAGCTTTGGACCAGAAATTTCGTCAAAATATGGTTCTATTTCGTCGAAAATAGGTTCATTTTATGCAGAATTTGTTTCTCTATCAGAGAATATAAGAACCTGTTGAATATTTGACTTTTTTCTTCCGAGAATTGGCAAATACCGTTCTGATTGGGTCATATTATCTCTCATAATATTTTTTCAGCCTTACGAAACTAGAGTTTCTACAGATGCAGTGATTGGATTTCTTTACCAAATGTGCAACTGAATGTACTCTTTCTGATGAGATCATTTTCTACTCGAAATTTCATAACTAGTAAAGCACTTCTGCTCAAAATCCTGTCCTTGAGACTCTGTTTGCGTCTTTTTTGACTAATATTCTATGGTTTTCAAATAGCAAAATTCCATTTGACTTCAGACAACTGTCGTATCTGATATTAACACGCAAAACTGAGTCGGCTTGTGTAAGTCAGAGATGTCCATTGGGTTAGATTGGATTGGCGCTTCCACGGGTCAGCCTAACCCAAACCAGTGGCTTGAGCAGATCATTTATATAATTCTATCTCTGACCTACCCATAAAAATTTTCAGGCGATTTTGTGGGTTAACCCAAAAGTCACCCTCGGACTAATCCATTAAATAATCCATATTTCATAAAATTTAGTTACGAAGGGTGGGTGTGGGGTGTGGTGTGGGTGGTGTGGGTGTGGGGTGCGGATGTGGGCGTGGGTGTGGATGTAGTTGAAGAAAAAAACCCACACCCACCCACACCCCACACCCACACCCACATCCACCCCTACACCCCACCCACACCCACCCCACCCACACCCACACCCCAAACAACATTAATTAGTTGCTTCTATCATATAAGTGAAAATGGACAAAATCGGATATGGTCGATTGAGCACCTCCTAGTACATGAGGTCGTGGCTTACGTGCAACGGCTCATAAGAGAGAATTATTCATCTTTATCCTAAGATATATTCAATAAATAACAATTTTATTTTTAAACTATAAACTCATTAAATTATTGACAATTTCACTTATTCAAAAATGAATGCGTTATTGTTTTTCTTCTTGACAATATCAGTCAAATAGAATGAATGAATATATATTCTCAAAGAAAGAATGAGTTACAAAATTAATTAAGAAATATGATTGGTGTTTCCAAGTTGCAACACCAATCATATTTTTTTTTATTTAGTGTTAATTTGTCTATTGTGTTTGACCATATATAAATATTGAGTTTTCTCAGATGAAATAAATAGATAAATAGTGAAGATAAATATGGAATGCTTATGTGTTAAATTGAATGATGTACCCGATGAAATTCTTCTGATTATTTTTAAAAAACTAAACAATTTTGATCTACTTTATTATTTTCATGGTATTAAAAATAAACGATTGAATAATATTATACATGATCCAATATTTACAACTAGTCTAAACTTTGTCAAATGGTCATCTCATAAATTTCTTAATAAACTTTCTTCAAATGTTATACTTAATCGATTTTGTTTACAAATTTTACCTGATATTTCTATGAAAATCAAATGGTTTTATCTTGAATCATCATCTGCAAAAAACATTCTACGTACTGCAAATTATCCTAATCTATATGGACTTGGTCTATATAATATCAAAGAAAAGACAGCTAGACGTCTTTTTAATGGTAAGAAAATCAAAATAGAATTCTTTTAATTTAAATAAAAAATAAAATATTTCTTAAAAAAGTACAAATATTTTCTTAAAATTATTAATACAACTGAATAGATTGTTGAATATAGGAAAGTACATTTCTAATTTATATTTCAATATGAATTTATAAAAGAATCATATATAAAAACTTATATAATAGAAAACATTCTTAATGAATACATAACAAAATTTTAAAAATATAATTTTTCTTACTTTTAAGAAGTTTCTTTAGAGAAAAAAGAACAAAACAGAATATAGAAAGAGAGATTATTTCGAAAAATAATTTGTCTCTATGAAAAATTATCTTCATCTATTGACTATTTGTAGTGATCTTTGATATATGTGAGCCAGAGCTGGGCAACTCAGAGACTTTTCAAGTTACGAAAAAAAATTTCAAGTCAAGTCAGACCCTAAATTTTTTCAAAAGTCAGGTCCCAAAATTTTTTCGATCAAATCAAACCAAGTCAAGTCTTTACTGGACTCGACTTGGAAAACTTTTTTAATAGTCCTGACTTGACTTGTAAGTCAAGTCAGGACTATTAAAAAGTTTCTTAAGTCGAATCCAGTGAAGACTTCATTTGATTTGGGAAAATTTTTTAATACTTCTGACTTGGCTTGACTTGAAAGTCAAGTCAAAAGTATTAAAAAATTTTTCCAAGTCAAGCCAAGTCAGGGTATTAAAAAAATTTTCCTAAGTCAAGTCACACTTGACTTGGCCAGCTCTGATGTGAGCCTGGTCAACCATAGGATGTCTTGAATTCCTTTATCTATATTATCAGTTAAAGAGTCTAACTATATTTCCGCTAGATTATCATCTTGATCTCTAAAATAGTTGCTGATTGCTGTCTTAGATGAAATTATTCAATTCCTTTAAAAAGAAAAATAGAGTATAATTTGAGAGAATGAATAATTGGTAAAGTGTCAAAATATCGAAGGAGTAAAACATCGAAAATGCAAAAATATCGAAAAACAAAATGTCGAATGTACAAAATGTCGAAAAGTAAAATATCGAAAATATTGAATATGAATGAGAGTACCGATAAATTTTCTAATAGTTCATTTTCTATTATTTTATGTCTGCGAAATGAAAGTAGATACAGCTTTTTGTATTATCGTTGAGAGTAAGAAGAAAGAGAATAGATAAAAAAAGTGTTATATTTTAATTCAAATGCACAGAAAAACTTTCGCAGTTGCTTTATTCATCTTGTACAAATAACCATCATACACCAAAAAGGGCTTTTCCTTGTTGCTTGTAACAAAAGAAATACTTGTTGACATGTAAAGATAAGTAAAGTAAATACGTATGTATTACGACACGATAAATGATTTAATGCACATATATATCGTTAGAAAGACATATATATGGACGAATAATAAGAAAAAATAGTTACTGAGTGAAAAGAAAGATACTACTTGAGTTTGTGACAAAATAAAGGAAAAACTTACATACGTGCACATACCATTGCAGAGAAATATATCAACAATAATGTAAGAGAATGAATAGGCTATGTGCAGGGATGGACCGAATCAACTAATATTAGGGGGGTGTAATCAGCGACGTATTCAGGGGAGGGAATGGGTGGACCGATCCCCCTCCTAACATGTTTAAATATCTGAAGGGGGTACGGGTTTATTGTTTTTCCCAACTTAAAAGCTACCTTTTTTCTATGGCGGTCCCCCCTAAAAAAATTTCTGGATACGTCGCTGGGTGTAATGAACTTTTTGAGCAGTGGAGGTTAACTTTTGGGAGCGGGGGTGTAATGTTATTTTCGTTGACAGAACACAAGAAAATTTTTGAATTTTACCAGGAAAATGCAAAAATTTTCGAGGATTGGGGGTGTCACACCCCCGGTCAGGCCATCCCTGGCTATGTGCATGCATCATTTTTTTTCTGTGGTACAAATTAGAACATTTTCGACATTTTGCACTTTCGGTATATTTTTCTTCGATTTTTTGACTTTCGGTATTTTATCTTTTCGACGTTTTTCCTTCGATATTATGCCCTTCGACATTTTTTTTTTCGATGTTTTACCTCTTCGATGTTTTGCCTCTTCGATATTTTTCTTTTCGACGTTTTGACTTTCGATCTTTTGACACCTATTCGAATAATTTCATAGAAGATAATGATCAACAACTAATATTTAGAATTTAGCAATATAGCGATGAAGATAATAATTTAATTTGAATATGGTTAGTTTTTTAACTGATAATACAAACAAAGCAAATTGGAATATCTTATGATTGACCATGCCCACATATATATTTTGATGACTAATTGTATATTTATATGTTTAGATGAAAGTCTTTCAAGTGGTATTTTTAAAAAACAAATTACAAGACTCATTATAACAACTCCTAAAGAGAAAAATTATTGGTTGACAATAGTAAAAATGTGTAATTGTATTTTTTCTATTTTTAACAAATTAACACATTTAAGATTTTCTGAATCATCATATGAAAATTATGTTCCTTTATTATTTGATTTTCCATCTCGAAGGTTTTCTTCTTCAAGTCTTTTGGTATTAAATATCAAGATTCAACATTTCTCACAGTTACTTTATGTTCTCGATGGTCGTTTTAGTCAACTCCATACACTCATTGTTGATTTGATTAACAATGTTTTGTTAACAGATTTAATTGAAAATAAAGTTAGTTTTAAAATAAAATTTATTTTATTTTTATTTTATTTTTCTAGGAAAAAATTTCAAATCTAAAATGTTTTGTTCTATCATGTGCTTGGGAAATATCACGTTATAAAGACTTACTTCTGCCACTTATTTATCGAATGTCAAATATAGAAAAACTTAGTTTATATCTTACAATTTATATTAATGATAAATTTATTGATGGAAATGATTTAAAGAAAAATATTATCAATCATTTACCACAATTAAGTATGTTTACATTTGATATTCGTTCACTTATGTTTATTAATAATCAAATGAATTTACCATCAAAAAAAGATATTGAAGAAACATTTAGAGATTTTCGATATACGAAAATAATATCTTATGTTGATTATTTTCTAGAAAAAAAAATGGGTCAATGTCATGTTTTTTCATATCCATCTGAAATGCCATATTATCAAAATATAACAAATAATTTTCCAGGTGGATTATATGAATATGTTCGTTTTATATCATTATATGATGAATATCCTTTTGAACATGAATTTTTTATTAAAATTTCTCAATCATTTCCATTTATGGAAAAATTATCTTTAATTAATTATCAATCACAAAAACATAAACAATCTTATGAATTAATAAATGATAATTATAATTCAACAATTGTTAAATATAATTATCTTATTACACTTGATATTGAAAAAGTTCATGATGATTATATGGAAGAATTTTTATTTAATACAAAAACATATTTTCATGATAATATTCTTATTTATATTAATTATAAATCATTAGAAAGAGTAACACATAATTTTACAAGAGATGTTACACGAATTAATTGCGCTAAGATAAATAAAATTTTTTTATTCGGAGAAAAAAATTATTCCAATTCTTTACGAGATTATTTTCCTTGTGCAACAATATATTAAGTATTATTTAAATAAAACAAATTGATGACGTTATTCAAACATGAAAATTTTTCCCCCCCAAAAAAATATTCTGAGAAAATATTCGTTAGAAAAAAGTCAATATCATCGTGTATTTGTAAAGTTCCTGTCAAATAGTTTTTTTTTTATTTAATAAAAGTACTTAAATAACACAAAATATTTAAATATGAACAAATCGATTTTCACTCTACACTAAGAGAAAATAGACTGATTTCTATTACTTGATATCAGTTTATTTGTTCTTTGATTTAACTAACATATGTATTTATCAGTATGAATGAGAAAAAAAAAGTCACGAAAAAATATCACTTTCAACGAAACAAATATGTATATTGATCTCTCCTGGATTCAAATCGATGGTGACAGAGTTCTATCCTTATTGAATACAATAGAAGAAAATTGAACAATGGATAATCTTATTTCTCTGACCTGATCTTTTTTCTATGTTTTTTTCTAGATATTCAATCGAGTAAGGGTGTTCACATTTTACCCGATCACTTTCTCGATTTTTGGACCATCTCCCTTCATATGATGTCATCAGTAAGTGTTATTTATTATCATAAATAATGAAAAATTACTTATCAAATAAAAATTGAAATGGCATATAACGCGATTGGTAAATGATGAAAAATTTTGTTTCTATTATCAATTAGTTAGCTTCTATGCAACCATTTTCATGGTGTGTGATTTTGTGTTTATGTAAGCTAATCAATTCTGCATTTAAGATAAAAATTCAAGATCCAAAGTCTTGATCTTGGTATATTGTATGTCTATTGATATAATTCTGAAGAGATAACCTTTCTCAGAATTAAGATGAAAGTTTGTCATTGTAGTAATTATGTACTTTTTTTAAGTTTATTGTTGAAGATATAAACGCATAACATTGACAGACTCTTTTATCTATTATCCAAAATGCTAAAGAAATAAAAGTTTACTAGGAAATATAAGATGAAATAAGTACAAACTTTTTTTCTTTGATTTGTAAAAAATACTCTTGACAACCTTAATTAAAAACTGTTATAAATAAAATTTTCTTATAAATTTTTTCGAATTAGATGAATTTTATTTTTTGACTTTAAAATGACGAACAAAAAAAAAACAAACAATCTAGCATATTTTGAGAGGTAACTTTACTCATACAATAAAATTTAAGATCGTTATACATTTAAGAACTTTTCTTATTGTTTAATTCATTAAAATTTTCGGAACTATTCGTATTCACTTGAGAAGACTTCCGTAATGGACAAGATGAAATAGAATGGCGTGGAATGCCATCAGTCGTTTCAATTTCATCACAATCATGTAATAATTCAAGACTTTTAACATATCGACGTGAGAAAACATCTAAAAAAATATGAATATTTATGAAATAAGAAAGTCTTTAAATAACTTTACCAATATAAAAAGAAGCTCCATTATAAACACTAACAGCAAATATTGAACAAAGAAATATTCCATTGACATACCTTAAATAAATTCAATAGATTTCATTATATAGTAGTAGACAAAAATCTCTGCTTCATCGAATCTTAGCTATCATACACCCTGGAGATCTGAGAATTATTGACATGTTATTTCTTTTTATGATAAGATTTTTTTCTGAAACTTGTACATAATGACATTTAACTATTAATAATACTTCTTGAGAACTTAGAATTCACTTCATTGAAATGTTACTAGAGTTATGCTTTCCAAAGTCAGTAGACTGTTTTTCTTGAAACGAGCCGATACTGTTTCAGAAAGGGTTGATACTATCCAATGAAATTAATAGCACGGACAGACGAAACGTAGCATTATGTAATGAGGAATTGGTTGATTCACAAAACCCTGTCTTTTCAGATTCATTATGTTCATAAGAATAATAGATACTCGTCAGTAACATCTAGTCTAAGTCTCTTGGTTGTGCAAATAATAGAATTATAGTTGTGCTTCTCACCTACATTCTTGATGTAATAAGTATACACAAAAAGTTTTAGATCTTCAGAATATATGTTAGCTGAAACATGATAAAGTGTAAAACTTTGTCCACTACTCTATTTCGAATAAATCAAAATAATAAAAAAAGACTTTCTTCACTTACATATTTCGATAATACCATAAACATACTGGTAAAATCGATAGAAGCATATATCCAAATTGTAGAAAGAAATAAAATACAATTTTATATCGATTTATACCATCATTTGGTCCACCAAAACCAAATTTTTGTATAAGACGTGCAACAAAACCATCTTTATCAGCTAACAACCATGTATAGGATGTAGCTCGTAAACCACGTGCAACTTTCTCTCGACGTCCATAAACAATGAATGCATAATATAATGCTTGCCATATTAAATAAAAAACAACTGTATAAAATACAGCTGTTTTCGTATGTAGAGATGAACCTATTTGAACAATAGCTGGATAATATTGACGTTGAAGATCAAGTGGTAAAAGCCAACGAAGAGTAAATAATGTTAATGGTGGATACCTATAAATAAAATGAAAATATTAAGTAAATATTAAATAAATAGGTTTACATATGAATAAATAAACTAGTCACTTTGTCAAGACCTATGTTTTTTTTTTAAATATATAATTATAGTTTATTTTATATGAATAGAAAAAAAAAACCTTACTATGAAAAACTAGTGAATTTCTCCAAAGAACTATTGCAATACCTAATGGACCATGACTTAATGTATAACACACAGTGAAAAGAATTTTTGATGACGGAAATACCCATAGATAAAGTAATGTTAAGACATTAACGAAATAACATAGATCGTACACTAAAAATAATGAAGAAAAATAAATTAACAATAAAAATATTTAAAAGAAAAAAAGTTTATTTGAATTTTACCAAAATAATGCCAACTTTTACGTTTATAAATAAAGAATCGAAGTGTTATTAGAAATAAAGCTTGAATAGTATAAACAAGAGGTAATATATGTGGCCAACGACCAGCTAAATTAATATAAAAAAAAATATTATTATATTATACAAGACGATATGTTCTTCATACCAATCAACGGTGAAAAACAAGCATTGGCAACTCCAATTGAGAATGATATTTTATCTCGTGTTCGAATAAAATTCGGTTTTTTAAAGTTTTCAGACCATATATGAATACGTTGTTCTAATTGACTTTTAAGAATCCTTTTTTGTTCTTCGAGTTCAGCTATAGTCCTTCGTAAACGTTGTCGAGGATGTTCTCGTCGTTCTTCAACTATTAAAAAAAAAAAAACAATTTTCAATATATAAATTCATTTTTGTTTCTTTTCAAATTATTTTACTTTGATTTTTAATATTATCAATTTTATCCGAAACGGCTTCAAGAAAATCATAAAAATCAAGTTCTTCTTCATCATTAAGATTTTCTTCACTAATATTTTCTCCTGTTATCACTGCATTTGAAGATTCTTGTTTCAATTCATCATCCATTGTATTCATTTCGTCTTTTAAAATCTGACTTTCAGTCATATCTAGAAAAATAATTATGTATTAGAAAATAAATAAATATTTATCAAACACAAAAAAGAAAAATATATAATCTATCTGAACACATATTACGTATCATTATTAAGATCAATAAAACCGAGACACATGGTATTCTGTCCAATCAATGCAATACTAGGTATAGAATTATGATTATTCCATTTTAATTCATCTATTTTATGTTTGGACGATTCACTGGGTAAATTAATACAAGAAGCACCTTGCGGTGACCAAATATACAAACAATTATTATGTGTGCATAATGCTAAATGATCACGTTTTGGTTCCCATTTAATACATCGTATTGGTTGGACTTGAATAAGTACAAAAGCTAAATGAAATGTTGGTTTAAAATCAAATATAAATAAAATATTTGGCATTGTTTCATTAATGGTTGACATATATCGGCCTGAACTTGAAAATTCAATGGATGATACACCTAATCGAGGATTAGCACGATCAAGATTAGGTTTTATTGGATCTATTTGAAGCGTACCATTATATATAATATATTTTGATTCAATTGAAATGTTTGATTCATGATTGGATAAGAGTGCTGATGAATAAGTAGAAGATGAGTAAGGTTTACCTTGACTAAAATATACATTTAAAATGAGTCATTTACATCGAGATAAAGAATAGAAGAGAAAATATTTAATTAAGAGATCATATATACTAGAGAATCGACAAAAGAACTATTCTATTTATTTTAAATGTTAGATCTACTTTGATTTCTTATTTGACGTATGAATAGGTTGTTAACAAACTAAATAAGTTCTAATATTATTATTGAAAAATAATTTAATAAAATCTATTTTCATTGTTCAGTCCTTGCAGAAATTTGAAAATATTGAGTTTGAATTAAAATTTTGTTTTATTTTCGAATATAGGTTAAAAACTTCTTGAGAACTTGTGCTTTAGGAGTTATGATTTTACTACATACATTATAATGTCGATTTCTTTTTTGCATATAATTCAAAGTAAGATTATTCTCTAGAAAGTGATATTAGAATCAAGAGTTTCAGAATCATCATTCAGAAATAGTCAAGTTCACTTTGCAAGGTTGTCTTCCATAAAAATCGAAAAAATGACCGAATAGAACACAGTGTCTCTTATCAAAATACTCACTATTGACAAGTGATTTTTAACAAACTGATCATTAGTATGCCATTTTATATAAAAACATTTGCTCTTTCATTCACTATATTTGAAATAATTTTCGCTCAAGTGATAGCATCCTGAAACTCAACCATAGTCAATGTTCAGGTCTCGAAAAGGTCAAATTATAACTCTTAAATAATAAATCCTACAAAAAATTTCAAGTTATGTTCAGAAAGAACATAAAATTCTGATTCTCACCCAATATTTTTACATTTGTTAGGCTTCTTTAAGAGGCTGAAAAATCAAGGAACACTTTATTAAAGTACTTTTCGATAATCTATTAAAAGACTTCACATCAATCGAAATTTTGAACGAACATAGTAATGAATCTTTTTAAAGTGTTCTTGTTTTTATATCTTGGAACTCTATCCGTAATTAGGTTTCTTTTCAACACTTAACAATATTTTATCATGAATTTGAAAAATATGTTATCGTTATAAATTCCCTAGTTTCACTAGCTATAATTGACAAGAATTCGTTACAATTCTGAATGCATATAATTCTTGTTGAAGGGATATAGGACCAATTGTTTGAATGATATTGTTTGCTCGTTATCGATCATTCTAGACTTTTGACAAAAAAAGTAAAGTCGATGTGATTATATATATTTGAATGTGTTTTATTCAAATATGGCATGAAATTTCTTCGATGTTATTACCAAGCAGAAGAAAGCAACTGTTTATTAAAATTCATTGATTTTTATTTGGCTAAAAATATATAGAAACACCATCATATTTTTGTTATATGTAGATCAGATGGATCTTAGTTTTTCTAGGAAGTTATACACTCAGATGAAGATATTGATTCTGAATGTTTTCATTAAAAAAAAAGATTGCAAAAAGTTTCTATTTGAATCTAAAATGAGATAATATTGATCTAAATTAAATAACTTGAAAACATCATTTACGTTCAACATTTTGGCTGCAAAATTTGAAAAGTAGGTGAAACTGATTTTTGAACAAAAGATTTGAGTACACAATACTTAAATGAGACGTTTGCTAGTTGTATACATCATTGTGTTACAAAGAAACATATGATGTTAAAACTGATGCCATTTGCTTGTACGAAAAAAATACATAAAACAATTTAAAATTCTCATCTTGTAAATTTAGACACAGTAGGTTTCTTTGTAACAAAATGATGCACAAAACTAGCAAACGTCTCATTTTGTTTCAAAAAAGTGTTGCTGTTACAATCCGTTTCCAATGGAGTATCTTACTTGTTTTGGTAGTGCACACCAATAGAAATATAGTTTTTTGTTTCACAAAAAAGGTTTTTTCTATCTGTACTACTGTGACGTCTTGAATGTTGTATGAGACGCAACTATTAAAGATACCAGGTGTCACAATGATATTGATAGCAAATGACAAGAATGAAAAAAAATCAGCGTTGAATGAGAAAAAAAGATTCAATGATATATTTAGTAAGCAGAAAGAGAGAGTAGAGTATATGAAACCAGGAGAGTAGATGTGAATGAATATGTGTCTGAGTCAAACGTGAAATACAAATAAAGTGAAGGTAACTAATGAAAAATGAAAACATCAAAATATAACGCGCAAGCAACAGGAGAAGAAAAAAACTTACAAAACGAAATAAAACATACAAAAAACGAGCATCAAAACAGCACATCACCGACAGTTGTGTTAGAACACCCTCCAATCCAAGTGTTTTTGCCCAAGGGGGAGTGCATAGGCACTTCTGTCTATGCTCTTGCTCAGTCTGTCTCTATGACTTTCACGTAAAACTAACATGTGTTTGACTAACAAAATAACAAAAATATAATGGTAGTGTTATATTTTTCGGCAGAAGAATACCGATGAATTTTGATAAAAAGTTGTGTTTTTCACCTAGACAAGTATCGAGGAGGTCCGATTCTATATTTGAAGAAAGTATCATTCAAATAGATCGTTCTAGAATTTTGGTCAGAATTGTAAAAGAATACTCGATATCTATTTGATTTTCAGCTTAGACAAATTCTATTTTTTAAGTAACAAAGTTCAGATTTGAATATAATTTTCTTATTTACCTTTTCTCATTTGTTTCTTCATTATTATCATTCTGATATTCTTCTTCTTTTAAAATTGTATAACCTTTTTTTGATGATAATCTTTGTGGATGTTGAAAAGGTTCTCGAATTTTTTTATAAGTTAAATAACTAAATATAGTTATATATTCTTCATAATCTCCAACAGCCATAACTTGTCCAGTAGGTGACCATCGTGCACAACGTACACCTAATGATAAATGATCATTTTCAGGTTTATATATATTTAATATTTGTCCATCAAGTTTACAAAAAACAATTTTATATTCATAACAATTTTCCCATAAACATAAAACATCATCACTTGGCGACCATTGAATACCTTGAAGATCTTCTAATTCATTGACATGAAAATGTGCAATCATCGACCAATTTGTTGAATAATTAAATATTGATATATGATCCGTACTATCATTTCGACGTTCAACTAATGCCATATATGGTTTTGATAAATTAAATATATAAGATTTAGGTGAAATTTTTTTTGGATATTTAATATATGAAACATTTTTTGATGTTAATGACCACACAGTTATACGTAAATGAAATTGTGCTGTTGTTAATATATGTCGAGAATCTGGTGCCCAATGTACTTGACAAAGACCAGCTGAACCTTCATCAATTTTACATTTCCATTCTGGATTATCTAATGAAAATATTTGTACAGCATTACGTTTAATTAAACCAGCTAAAATAAAACGTGAATCATATGACCATTCAATCGTATCAATTATATCAATACAAGCAAATAAATTTATTATTTCTAATGTTGTTGATGTACGTATTATTAAACGATATTGATTAACACATGCTAAATATTGACAGTCAGGTGAAAATGAACATTGATATGATGTTACGTTAAATAATTCTGTAAAATTCATCTAAAAGAAGAAAAAAAAACACATAACCAAAAATTGTATATTTTATGTCCACCAAAAATTAACAGAAAAACTAGCTGAAAGAGAACGAACATAATGCCAATGACGTGATGGCATATAGAGCATATCGCCTGGTTGAAGTATACATTCAAGATAAGGAACATCCTTGAAAAGAGGAAATCGATCATAATCAGGATTTTCAACATCAATCTAAGACAAAAGATAAATAAATCAAATAATTTGATTCATAATTAAAAACAAAGAAAAAAATTGTTTTTATTACTGAACTAGTGTTGTTTAACATCGTTGAACCCAGTGTGTATAATCTTGATGAATAAATAGGATCAATTAATCGAATATATTTTTCTCCAACAACCTATAAATATTATTTGAATTATTCTGATGAATATGATTTGTTTTTGGTTGTTTTACTTGAGCAAGGAGATTTTGTTTTGGATCATTATGTAATGGTGATATGGTTTGTTTTGGACCAATCCATCTAGAAACAAATAAAAATAATCGTCAAAATTTTTCAAAAATAATCATACGCATTAAGATCAACTTCTTCATCTTCGTTTTCATCGGAACTAATATAACAATAGTCTGGTATACAAATGTCTTTCTTTAAATCCGGGATCTATAAGAAAAAAAGAGATATATAGAACATGTTTTTATGTTAAAGTATCTTTTTATTGTCTATTACCTGATCTAGTAAAGGATGTTGTGCTAAATAACCACATTGTGAAGGCTAGAAAAAAAATATATTAAAAACAAAGCTTGTCAGTGCAATCTCTTTGGGACTAAAATGTAGAATTCACATATGTTCTTGAGTCTTATTATGTGAATACAAAATATATGAAATGAAACATCTCTAGCAAACTATAGTTATTTTTCAAGGATAATCGATCAGTAGAAAAGCGATATGTTTTATTTATTTCAACTTTTCGAACAGAAATTTTTCGTTGTTTACTTGCACTCTATTTTTTGTTTGTCTTGCTGTTATACATTTGTTGTGTTTCATTTTCGTATTCCGTTTTTCTTAACTTCAGTGGCAAATGTATTATTATATATATCTCGATAAGCTCGGAAACACTGATATTGATTATTTGGCAAAGTAATCATTTGATTCTTTCACGTTTTTTTTATGTTGGTCATATGATGACAATGGCAAATTAATACATGACTACCCATAAATCTTGACACCTTGAATATAAATTTTTATCTTCACAAAAATCTACAGTTGTAAAATTTAGAACATTCATAAACGTATTCCACTCATTACAATCTTGAGGAAGGCTTTCGAGTGTTCTAGAATAGTCTAATTCTTGTTGTTAATGCCATTCAACGCCTTTTTCCATTGCCAAAGGAGTTCGACGTCTGTTGTCCTTGGTTGCCATGAAAATGTATCTACACTCTATTAAAAAATTTTAAGAGGGCCTTTTATTATGTGAGAAGCTACTAATTTGACTTGGCCGTGTGTGTTACGGAAGCGAAGATTCATTCAGACGATATCATGATATTACAAGCAGAAGAAATACGAATTTGTTAGTCTGTGCTAGTGTTTCAAATGCTTGTTTCCAAACAGAGTAGCGATTATAGAGCACATAGTAACTATGACTCCGGACATCAATGAAAAATCAAAATAATTTCTACAGATTATTGTTAATTATGAATATTTCACGTCTGAAGAAACATTTTTCATATGTAGATATCGCCTAATCAGGGCTGTTTTAATCGTATCTGCGAAGCTTTACTCAACAAACCGAAATTGTAGAAACACAATAGAAGCCTTGAAGCTTCTAGTATGAAGAAATTTTCTGCTTCGAGGAATGATTTAATTTTCTTCGAAGAACATCATGCGAACTCCACAAGATTTTGTCAGTTATTGAAATTATTCAACTTACTCTTCGTTGACAATATTGTTTGACAAAATCTGCAATTGTCATTAATTTTTGTGTCCAATTATCATCCGAATAACGACTACCTAATTCAATTGGTACTGTCCGATCACCAGCCAATTTAATCAAATAATCAAAACTATATTTAACAAAAAAACATTATATAAATATAGAAAAGAGATAATTTTACCTCCATTTTGACAATGCTGGCCAATGATCTATACAACCGGTGAGTATAACAGGTTTTTTTGTTTTCATATAGCATGTTAGAAATTGTTCGATAGATGGACAATGAATACGTTCAACTACTTTTGTTAAATCAATAATTGGTCTTGGCATCCAGTTGAAATTATCATTTTCATTATTATCATCAAGACGAATTCGTTTTGGTGAATGAAAATCCGTACTCTAAAAATATATCAACAAAACATAATCATATAAAAAGAAAAAAAAGAGGTATTGAAGTGATAAATTTACAGATTCTTCATCTTGAGTATTCTTGAAATTCTGATTAATTATTGAAATAAGATCATTGAATTGTTTTTCGAGTATGGGTCCACCAAGTAAAATACCTAAATCACATTTTTTTATAATATCCTACTAAAAAGAAATAAAATGTTAAATAGAATTAAGTTTTTCAAATACATTTACTTGATAATTATCATGTGTATTATTTTCTATTAATATTTTACAATCAACAAGTACATCAATATAACAAGCATAAGCATATAAATATCTATAAGCATCTTTAACATTTTGCCATATTCCTGTATTTAATTTTTCCCATGAATATTCCAAAACAATTTTTACATAAGGTTTAGCTTTTTGAAATTGTTCATCATTAATTAAAATTTTTCGAGCTGTTTCTAAATAATTTAATAAATAAGAGTCAATTTGTTCATCATCTTTTGTAAAATGTTCATAAAATACATTTAATTGAATATTTTCAATAAGTTCTTGAATTATTTGATTAATAATCATCTATAAAATAGCAGAATTGATTAGAAAACAAAAGATTTCTTGAATTTCATCGATTGAAAAAAAGAAGAGACATAATGCTAGTTTAAAATCTTTCTATTTTGAACTAAAAGAAAAAAAGAGGAATTTTGCTAGATTGAAGCATATAAATAAATGAATTTTAAATGTTTTTAGTTTCTGTTGTTGGTTTCGATGCAGTTTCTTGCTTAACTTTTGCATCCATTTCTTCTTTTCTTTCTTTTTCTTCAACAATCTGTTCTTTTCGTACAAGATCAATTATTTCTTTCAAATGTTTTTTCGATATTTTAACTTTTTCATTTCCAATTATTTCAAGTGCCTAAAAAGAAAACAAATGAAAAAATAAACGAAACATACAAAAAAATTTCTAAATTTACTTTTAATATTTCATCAGCTTCAATGAAACCATCTTTATTATGATCAAATTGATTGATTAAATCCCAAACTTGAGTATCTGTAGATTGATTTGAAACTTTTTGAATTTCTCGAATAGCATTAACTAATTCTTGAGTTGATACAAGAATATCTCTGAAAAATAAAAAAAACACTTCAATATGAAAAAAAACATGATTAGATAGATTTACTTTTTTTCTGTCAGAAAATCTTTGTGCTCTTGAATTTGATCCGTTTTTACTTCAACTTTTAATTCATCTTCTTGAGTCTAAATATAATTAAATCAAGAAAAATAATTTTTAGAATAAAACAAACATGTAAACTAACTTCAATATCTTTTTGAAGTGAATCTTGTTTTTTATCAAGTGATTGAACAATGTGATCAAGATCACCAACAAGTTTATCAATACGTTTTGAAAGTGCCTTAGCAGAACGTGTTTCACTTAAGTATTTAACGTGTTTTGTTGCAGCCAATGTTTCAAGTTCTTTAACATCTTCTTTATATTCTTTAACATCATCCTAAAAAGTAACGGGAAAAAAAATTAAATAGATTTTTGTTTAAAAAAAAAAACACCGTTAGCGTAATGCCTTCAGGATTAATATATGAAACATGATATATATCTACTGTTCTTAATTACAGAGAGATTGTTTTATTCTTTGAGGGACGCTTTTTCACCATCCTTCTACTTAATCCTTCAGAAATGCAATAAGGAAATAACCCATTCCTCTAGAAGGATCAAGATGAAAGATCTATTAGAAGCTCCCAAATTTCTATTATGTTTACATAAGTTCAGTTTTTCGAGCAAAGCTTCTGAGATGCAATCAGGTTAGTTTTGGTCAGATGCCGTCTGAATTTACAAAGTTTTGCTTCAGATATCAAATACTCATGATTAAGAAGAATCTCAAGCATTCATTTTCAGCTTACGTTGACGTCCGAACAGTAGCGAAGCCAGTGCTTTGGGATAGACAAAGAGAACAGTACCCCCACAAAAATTTCAGCCTCTCTCCTTGCCTGACAAGTTTTTTGAAGGAAAACAATACATGATTGAAAAATCGCGTCAGGAGATCGGACTGAGCACTCTACTGCATCTCTCTGACTTCATCACTCTTCTCCTCAGTAACATGCACATTCACATTCTAAAATCTTTGAATATTTGGAGACTTTAGAAGTTTCGATTGCTTCTATTGCCATGAGGGATTTATTTCATAATTTATACCGAGACGTTATTGATATAATGTCGGAAGCCATATGTCAACAACTTATGTCACTCTGTAACGTTTCCATGGTTAAGGCTACGCATGCATCCAAACCTAGGAACAAAATTTTTCACTTATCTAATGCATTATCAGCTATATCAATAAATTGTTGCACCAGAAATTTAGGAAAATGTCTACTTTTGACAAATGAATGGGAAGCAAGTCAATGAACTGTTGGATTTAATAAGCGATGGTATGAAAACTGAAAAACAAATCAAACTCATTGGAATTGGAGTTTTTGATTGATTCTGGTACGTAGTCTAATAATGTTGCCAAAATTTCTGAGTTGACATTTTTTACTATTATTAATGTTTCACAAAAGGAAAATGAAAACGAAAATAATTACTTTAAGTTCTTTAATTTCTTCAACTGTTGTTTTAACTTCTTGTGCTTTTTGATGAACAAGTTGTTCAAGTGCTGTTTCAAATTGTCCAACATCAATTTGTTGATCATCTTTTTTGTCTTCTTTTTTCTGATCAGTAAGTATAGGTGCTTTATCAACAAGAATTTCTGCTTTAGGAACATCTAATGGTGTTGTTGGTACAACAACTTGTTCAGCTAATTGTTTCTTTTTCATTTCATCTTCAGATAATTTTTTATCTTTAGCTTTTTCTTCTTTTTCTTTTCTAATAGCTTCATCTTCACGTTTAATAGCTTCAATACGTTGTGTATTATCAACACGTTCACCACTAACTTCAGCTATTTTAACAGCTGTTACACTATCAATTGCTTTTGGTAATGATTGAATAGCTGCTTTAAGTATATCTTCTTGTGGAACACTCTCCGGTAAATAAAGTGCACGTGATATAAGTAAAATAGTTGATGGTATACGTTTATTAAGATGAAGATCAAGCCACTGTTGTAATTGTGAACGTAAACGTTCAACACTAACACCAAGTGAACGCATACCACGTTCACGACATGCTGCTTGTAATTCTTCAACAGTAAGATTATTAATACCTTCATCTTCAATTAATTTATCATCAGCTTCTAAATTACGTAATTTTAAATGAAGTGTAAAACGAAGATAATAATCAGGACCAATTGTTGATATACCAAGAAGTTTACATAAACCAACTAATTGTGGACGATCAAGATTATCCAATGTTAATTTATTTTCAAATAATGATGAAAATTTCATTATTTCTTCAGTTGATGGTTGAACACCAGTTGAACGAATCTAAATTAAATAGTAGATTTGTTTTCTATTTCAGAACCATATACTTACAAATTTATAAAAATAAGATTTCGATTATTTTGAGATAGATTTTCTTATAAAGATTACTAATAAAAAGTGTGAGGTGTTTTATAATGAATACTAAGGCTATCAGACGTTTGAATAACAATATTTTCTGTACTTGGATTTTCATTCTACTGAGCTATTCTATTTTCCTACGAAGATTATTCGTTGAATTCTCCTTAAAATGGTATATTCCATTTGATAGATATAATCTTTTCCATCTTTTAACAATTAATGAACATATTGTAGTCAGCGATACCAATTCTCCAGGAAAAAATATTCTCTTTGAAGTTTCTCACACAACCTTTCAGCTGTCTGACTAACTAGAGTATCATTTTTACAAATACTTTGGTGGCGTTAAAGTAATACTCAAATTGGTCAAATAGTTGAATAGTAACGTGAGAAACTTTTTAAAAAAAAAAGCCATTTTTTGTAAAAAATTGCTATCGCTAGTTCCAATACTTTTATGAATTGTTAGAAAATTGAAAAGATTATATTCGTTAAATGCAGTATACTGTTTTGTAGAGTATTGAATGGAGAATCTTTGAAAAAAAAATAAAGAATAACTCGACCAAATGAAAAATGAAGAAAATATGGCAAAGATCATGACACCGACAATTATTCTAGCGCATTCGTCAGATCAGATTTACATAATAGAATAACAATAACAATTGATCAACATTAATTATTCTAGGAATAAAATTCAATTATCTGCTGAAAAGAATCTTTGTCAGATGCAACAGATGATGTTTTCTTTTGTAGTCGATGTAATACGATCACAATTTACAATCGTTAGTTTTATGTTCAATCAAAATTCCGGAATAATATCAGATGTTGTAGAATTTTTATATGCCATTGTAATAGGAGTTAGATTAAGTTGAGAACATTAACAATACAAAAAATGATCATGCTGCCTACCAGAATAATAAGGTGATAAAAAAAGTTGAACCCACAACTTAATTTTGACTTTTTGTTAGGAATAGAAAATGAGGGGTCACTACATTTTCTACGGTCTTCCCTTAACATGTTAAAAGTATCAAAAAGCGTACCAAAACTGAAACTTATCGACAAACACATCATTCCAGTTTTTTTTAATGCTTTTAAGTTTTTAAGTGAAGGTTTTAAAAACTGTAACGACTTCTCGTTTTGTTCTCCTGAAAATAGCATTGTTAAAAACTAGCTTTCGAGAATCTGAAAACTATCGTCTTCAGTTATTTGGCAACCTTGCCATCATAATTCATCTATGAAATCTTGACATAAAATCAATTAGATAGAAAACTCCATTGGCTATTAAAGCTAGTATCTAGGTTTACGTTAATTGCTTAAGATTATATAAAAAAAATTATGTTGTCGTTATACTTTTTTCCCCAGCCTTACACCTTCAAGGAGATTACTTTAAATTATAGATTCAACACTTGGACTGCTAATAATCTTAATATTCGATAGTATGAAAATTTTCGCGAGAATAAATATTATGTTACATATGATTGTTATTGAATAGATTTTTGAAGATTTATCAAATGAACAATACCTTATTCATAAACTCAGCAAATTGTGTTGTTAATGTATCATCTGAACGTTTTTTTTTCGATTTTAATGCTGTATCTTCAAGTGTATCTTGTAAAAACTTTGCAACTTCTAATTTTGCTTTTAATTGTTTTTTTAATTTTTCTTGCTAGAATTAACAAATAAAAATAAAAAGCCATATTGAATAAATCATCAAACAAAAATACTAAATCTTTACTAGTTTATCTGCTTCTTGAAATGTACTTGGTAACATATTTGGAAAAAGTTTTAAAAATATTGGCAATGTAAATTCCATAAATGGAACAATGACGAAAACAGAAAATGGTACCAGTCGAAATAAATCAGCAGCCGTACGTGTAAACTAAGATAAAGTAATATTCTTTGTTGAAATCTAAATTTTTTTAAAAATTATATTACTTGTTTTCGTTCTCGTCGTGTTAATGTATGACCATTTAAAACTTGTCTTAGAAGACGAAATGCAATTTTTGTTTCAATAAATAATAATTTAAAACCATTATAATAATGTTTTAATTCATGAACAATACGTTCCCAAAGTGATTTACGTTTAACAACTGATGAGTCTGTTGCTGGTGTACTTGTCGTAGAAACTGTTGTCTCCGGAGGAATAACTGGAACGGTTGTTTTCGTTGGTGTTGTTGATATTGGTTTTGTTTTTTCCTCCAGAGACCCATCTTTTAATAGTTCGACTGTTTTTTCTATTTTAGATTTATCATCGAAAAGTATTGATGATGAATGAAATGAACGAATATGTGTTGATGATAATAATAGTAGACGATTCGTATCAATCGAGGATATACGTTTACCATAATGATAATGATATGGATTTGGTTTTACAACAATAGCTGTTGCTCGACCTTAGAATATAAAATAGATGTTCATCAATTTTAGAAAATTTTTCTCAATATTCATAAAACCATACCTATTGTCGATATCGACAAAAATCGATTGCTTATTCGAATAATACTCATTTGATTGATTTTGTCCAATATTATCAATACGTATTCTCATATGAAATAAAAACTCTAATAATCTAAAATAAATTTGATTGTTGAGAAAAAGTGTTCAACTTTTTTTGACAAAATTCAATCATATTTTTATCAAAAATAAGATTAGATGTTTCAAACATAAATTCATATAATTCTTTTTTTGTTAAATGAAATGTTTGTACTACTTGAAATATTTCTGATGATAAACTACAATTCATTAGACCACTATCATCTGTACATATTGCCAAGGGATGTTTATTTTTATAAAATAAATCAAAATGATGTTGAGTTAAATCTAATAAGTTCATTGTTAATAAATTTGATGTTGGACATAATTCAAGTGGAATTTGTTCTTTTAAAACACGTTGTTCTTGATCATTTGTACGAAAATTAAAATGACCAAGACGTGTAGGTTTATAATCAATAATTAAATTATTTTCATTTAAACATTCATCATCAGGTAATTCACCAATATGTATTGTTGTTGATAAATTTATTTGTTTAGCTAAGTCAAATACTGGACGAAAACGTTCAAATGATTTTACATTTGGATCACCAGATAAATCAAGACCAACAACATATGTACGATAGTTTTCAGCTAATTTTAATGTCTCCATAGCTTGTTCTAATGTTTGTGTTCTATCAATACTTAATATTAAACGTGAACAAATTTTTTCTTCAAATTGTTTCATTACTTCCACAATAGCTTCAACATAACTTGACGATGGAATTTTTCCATTATGAAATGAACGTGGACGTGTTCGAAGTTCAACATATATAACATTATCCTTAATAAAATCTTCTAATGTTTCACGTGTTATACGACGAATATCATCTAAATTTGTAACACATGAACGAAGTAAAGAAAATTTTTCAAAAACATTTGCCATTCTTGAATGTGTATCACCAAGAGAAAATTCTTGATCAAGTGTGTCAAGACGCATTTGATCCGTGGGTGATGACAGCAACTGACGAAATGTTGACAAACGAATACATCCATTTAAATGTGCATGAAGTTCTATCTTTGGAATTAATTCACAAAAATGTTGTAGATCATCCATTATTTACTATCGAAAGAGCAAAAAATTACAAATTACAAGCAGCAACTCGCAAATTTCATGGAATGCTTTAACCACTCTAAACGAGCGCTACTTTCAAAGGATTGAAATTATTTATAGAGACCGCTACTGATAGAAAACAACAACTTTCTTTTTAACCGAATGTTACTCCATTCATAAAATTGTGCGCAATAAGAGTCCAATCAAAAAAATCAATCTTAACTAAATGTCATAGTATTTTTTCGGTTATAATAATTTATTATTTTAAAAATGAAGTTCTTTTTATTCGAGGTAGATTTTTTTTTGTATGTTTACTTTACTCATATCATATGCATATAAATATTTTCATTTTATCTTTGTTTTCTTGTTAGTATCATTTACCTGGTCTGTTTATAACATCGAAAACATGCACCTTAAACTTTTATTCTATCTTGTCATTGTTTATCAATTGTCGACCGTATTCTCAACTAACTTTGGTATGCTTCTTAGAAAAAATATTTTCTTTTACATAAATATTTTCTTTTCAGGTCGATATGATTTATTGGCACATGAAAATGATGATGGTATAACACGATTCTTTGCTGTTGGTGATTGGGGCGGTTTACCATTTTTACCATATGAAACTCCATCTGAAGTTGTTGTCGCTGAAGCGATGGGTAAATTGGGTAAAAAATTAAATACAAGTTTTCAATTGGCATTAGGAGATAATTTTTATTTTGATGGTGTTCAATCAGCCAAAGATCCTAGATTTCAAGTAAGAGAAAGTTTTATTAGAAACGTTAGATTATAATATATTCTTGTAGCATACATTTGAACATGTATTCTCAGCAACATCATTACAAACACCATGGTATGTTATAGCTGGTAATCATGATCATTTAGGTAATGTTTCAGCACAAATAGAATATGGTAAAACATCAAAACGATGGTATATAAATCATGTAGAATTTTCTTCGATTTAAAAAAGAATAATTATTCTAGGATATTTCCTGATTATTTCTATTCATTCTCTTTATGGCAAAGTGATAAACAAAAGAAATTAATTGATTTCGTCATGATTGATACTGTTATACTTTGTGGTGGTGGAAATTTATCAGATTGGGAGCATACTCCATTAGAAGGTCCAAACAATCAATATGTTGCCGAAGCTTATTGGCAATGGATTGAAGAACAACTTCGTCAATCGACGTAAGAAATTATTCAATTATATATATATAAACATGTTGAGCTACTTTGATTTTATACTTTTTAGTGCTCCATATTTAATTGTCAGTGGTCATTTTCCAATATATTCAATTGCAGAACATGGTCCAACGCAATGTCTTGTTGATCGCCTTCGACCATTACTTCATCAATATCAAGCAACAACTTATCTTTGTGGACATGATCATAATCTTCAAGTAGAAATTTTTCTTTTTGATTTTGAAAAATCCGTTTTTTTTTCTTTTTTCTTTGGTTTTAGCATTTAGTTGATGATATGAATGGATCACATTTGGATTATTTTGTTGTTGGTGCTGCAAATTTCATAGAAAATAGTCATAGTCATCAACATGATGTGCCACCAAATTCACTTAAATATTTTTGGGCTGGTTCAATTGTATTTGGTGGTTTTGGCTTAATTGAAGTTGATAATACACAAATGAACTTTTCATTTATTGATCGTTCTGAAAAAACATTATATCAAACAACCATGAAACCACGTTTTTAATTAATACTTTATTATATATTTTTATTTTTCTTCGAAATATGATACATATAAAGGGATGATAAATTCGACGGGTGATTTTCTATTTGATATTTTGTTCATTATATCAAGATAGTAAATTATATGGAGTAGTATTTTTTTTCTTTAATGTATAGTTTATTTCTCAAAACTTCGTGTAAAAAAAAGATTTCACATGCATTGCTGCACGATCCAGAAATGAACAATTGATTTTAGTCATTTTTTTGTTTGATCTGAAGTTTTTGAATTTTTGGTGGATCCATTGCACTGTGAATACCTTAAAATTCGAATATCTTAGTCCTTGTACATTATGAGCAGTTCATAATTTATATATTTATCAAATAGATTCGAATATACTCATTGTTCTTGAGTTACAATACACATCCTTTCATTGTGAGTGATTTTATAGAAATAATGTGAATACAGTTTTAAACTTTTCTTGTTTTCCTATATTTTCGATAGAAATGAATCTTTGTTATGAAAAGTTCGTTGATCAGTAATGATTTTTGTTTGTGTATTTTTATGATACCCTTTTATTTTGTTCTCGCATTGTCGTTGTTTTTATTTGAGGATCCACTATCTGAAGTTCTTGTAACCCCTGCAATACATAAATTGAGTGTAATATTAAATACAAGTTTTCGTTTAGCGTTAGAGGACAATTTTTGTTATGACAGTGTTCAGAGAGTTGATGCATCAAGATTTTCAAGTAGAAGTAGTTCTAAAACTCTTCTGTTAAAGCAGACTGAGCCCACCTACAATTTTGCAACCGACAGATGACGAAGCAGTGTTTTCTCAACTTCTTTCATCCAGTCACGAAAACTTCTGTTAGACATCAATAGAACTATGAAGTGCTATCTTTCGTTGGCGAGTGTAAAAGAGAAGATGAAGGCATAATCGCTACTTTTTCGGACATCATTCTTATTTTTTCATAGAAGAATCAACCGAAAGTCAGCTGCATGTATGACCTTTGAAGAAGAACTTCTCTGCTGATCATCAACATCTCGGATTCACCATTGGCGTAGTTATTTATAGAAACTAATGCCCATTTCACAACAAAGATGAGTGGATATTTTTCGAATAATTTTAGATAGAAATAAAAAAAAGAGCTGCAGTTTTTACCGTTGAAAAAAGGCTTATCCGCCGTATCGACTCCTATAAGATTGTTGGGATTTATTTCATAAATAAGTGGTAATTCATGATCGTCTTCAAAGAGTAGGATATTACTCTATAAAGATGGAACAAATCTTAAACTTTGAGGAGTGGACTAGAATCTCCAGATGACGAGCTATAAATCTACGCAAGGCAGAAGCTTTTATCTCAATTCGTTTAAAAGTCATGAGTCAAACACTAATGACATTTGACCGATTTCGTAGTGGATGAATTGGTAATAATTGTTTTTGCTATAGAGTGATTCTTTTTCTATCAAAATATTATAACTAGCCACTGAATGATACTGCTTTCATATGCTTTTACATGATTAACTTGGAATATATACATCATACTTCGCATATATTTATGACCAAAAGTACAATATCTTAGGTTTCATTCTTTTATTGACAACTACGAAAAGGATAAATAGCAACAACGCATATTATCAATCGTTCACATCTTCTGCCACCGAGTCGACATCTTTCTCTTCATCTATCAATTGTTTCTCGATTTCTTCGGTGAGTCGATCGAACTTCTTGAATATGTCTTTGATCTTACATGTTTCATGGATATATCTCAGTGATTGCTTTGCTCAAATGTATCATCCATTCATCGGCTAAATGTCGAGCATCACTGAAACTAAAGTTAACGCTCTTATCACGTACATAATTGAATGTGCGGATGAGTTTGGATACTAATCCTATCTTAAGGCACACCAATACCAACACCCACACTCGCCTTTTTCTTGAAATAGGCATTAATTAGTGATAACGAACCCTCATTTGCATGGTATTTAGTAGAGGAGATTTTGAAGCAATATTAGCAATGAAATATCAAACGTTGGAAAAATTTAGATTATAATATTAGAAAGAATCGGGCCCCCTGAATGTATGGTTTCTCGCATGAGATATTATTAGCATTCGTCCTCTTCTTTCCATGATACTTTATACTACATAAAATGAAGAAGTATAAAATAGAATAAGAGAGAGAAAGACACATATTTTGTTGTTTTTTGTTTCGTTTTTTGGATTTTTTAAAATCAGAATCAGGAATGAAAGAAAAACTAAGGAAAAAAGGTATAACTGATTTATATGGATAAAATCAGAATAAAATTAATAGAACAAAAGAGACCAACTTGAATGGCACATTTATTTAAAATTCTATTTCATAATAGTTTCACTTGCCGAAGAGATACAATTTGTAATAATTAATACATCGCACAAAAATTCTAATATTTAATAAATTCTAAAGCTCAGATGAGTAACATCGAATACAATCGTTTATTGTACTGTATTTTTGCAAGTGCAGCGAAGTTTTCTCATAAAAAATAAACTTATGTGTCATTTTTTTTACAAGGATTATTTGATCAAGTGTTTACGGAGCATTTTTACTTCAGTGTTGCTCGATTTTAATATAGAATTACGTAATACTACGAAATATTTACAAAACAATTTTTTCCTGTTGTCTTGCGAAATTACATGATATATATATATATGTGTGCGCACATCGATGACTACTACGCATTTACACAATTTCTTTATTTTGACAACGCAACAATGGCAATAGATCAAAAAAATATACCACAATTTAAATTAATTTTAGTTGGTGATGGTGGTGTTGGTATATTTGATTTTTCTTTGTATTTTATCTAATATACGATAATGAACGTTTTTAGGTAAAACAACATTTGTCAAACGTCATTTAACGGGTGAATTTGAAAAGAAATATGAAGCTACCATTGGTGTTAATGTACATCCGTTAAATTTTTATACAAATTTCGGTGAAATCATTTTCAATGTTTGGGATACAGCAGGTCAAGAAAAATTTGGCGGTAAGTGATTGAAATAATGAGTATCAGTGATTATTTGTATTGTTTCTTGAATAATAGGTTTACGTGATGGTTATTATATTGGTGGACAATGTGCTATTATAATGTTTGATGTAACATCACGTATAACTTATCGTAACGTTCCAAATTGGCATAAAGATTTGATTCGTGTTTGTGAAAATATTCCAATTGTTTTATGTGGAAATAAAGTCGATGTGAAAGATCGAAAATTAAAAGCTAAATCAATAACATTTCATCGTAAAAATAATATGCAATATTATGATATTAGTGCTCGATCAAATTATAATTTTGAAAAACCATTTCTTTGGTTGGCACGAAAATTAGCTGGCGATGATAATCTTCACTTTGTTCAAGCAGTCACATTGCCAGTATGTTTTGATATAATATAAAATTCTATTTTTTTTTTTGTTTTACAACATAAATTTATTTATTTTTAGCCACCTGAAATACATTTGGACGAAAAAATGCTTCGAGATTATGAAGACAAGCTACAAAAAGCAGCAGATGAACCATTACCCGAATATGATGATGATGACTTATAAACAAAAACTATTTACATGTATAAGAAAATCAAGAATTTTTCATTAATAAAAAAGTTCTTCTTTTTTTTTCGTCATATATTGTTTTTCGTCATATATTTTTTTTTTATTTTTTATATTTTTAGCATATTTTTATTATTTTTTAGCGCATGATGGTTTTTTGTTCGTTTTCATTTTTCAATGTTTGAGTCATGAAGCAATAAACAAACTATTGCGAAAGTAATTTTTATTGCTTGTGCAAAAAAAACCTGAATAAAGTGTCATAGAATTAGTCATGGAAAGAAATGAAGAAAAGAAAACGATAAAAATATGTGACTTCTTTTTTTGATAAATTTCATACGCTGCAAATGAATCTTCTAGTTATTCATTGAGTTTATAAGTTCAGACTATAATACTGATGTTCATGCCATTGTTGGATAGACAAGCATGTGTACTTTTTCAAGCAATCCACGACATCGAATATTGCGCAGTTGTTTTCTTGTCTAGAAATAACGGAATGCATAAATAATCAACTATTTTATAATTATTATTTAAACTGACATTGATTGATCATGATTTTTCAAAGTGTTTTTTGAAAAATGAACGATAAGGATTCATTCAAATTTTCATCGGCACACTAATCTATTCATTTGACTAGATGAAGAAAAGGTGTGAGTGAAGGTGAAAATTAACGTGGATGAAAACAGAACTTTTATACTGATCCACACATTCCTACGCTTACAGTCACATCCACCTGAGTCTACACGAATGCGGCAAGATTCGACTAGGCATTCGAGAAGAGAATTTTTCTTGTTGAGGTGCTATCGATTTCATTATCTTGTTGAAATAATGTGAAATAATACGAAGTGGATGGTTTAGTTCAATATTCAAATTCGATGACCGAACTTCAACACCTTTATGTGAAGTTTCAGCCTAAAGAATGACTACTAGTCATGAAGTAGCGTTTGCTTTCCTTAGTATATTATACAATTAATCTAATTACATGGACTACCAAGTGATGATATCAATAGAAGTTTAGATTTGTTCAAAACATGTACATCAAAGTCTTTCATGATCGATTAATTATAAATACAATTTTATAAATGATTTTGAGAGAATAGTTAACACATTAGTTATATCAATTCGGACATTCGTTGAGAAATTTCATTTATATCCAAATTGAATATGAATCACTACTTCAACGATTGCCTCCATCAAAATCTCTTGTCTCAAGATAGTCACATTCGTGTTTCGTTGTTGCCAAAATAAATCATTTTTAAAACTCGTTGTACATAGATGTTCAGCCATTGGTGCTTCTAATGGTTCTGGTAGCAATAACAAAGTAAACTTCGTCAATTGTGGTAAATTTTGTTCTATTAGATTTTGCCATTGGCTATCATCGATCGCATCCATCCCAACAGATATCATGGTCAAGTCAAGTCGTTGAACACTTGGGCATGACATCATGAAACTAAACATTGAATCAAACTCTGTGTCAAAGAGTACGACTATACAAGTACGTAATTGTGACAATGGTGGATAGGTGATAATCGATGGATCTAATCTAGCAATGAATGCTAGTGTCTGTAATTGTGGAACATGGGATAGAATCCAATGCAACTCATTTAGACAAATGGTTGTCAAATTTAGATATTGACATAATAGATCGTTTGTTATGTGATGTGACACAGGCGTAACCATTTCTCTTACATTAGGCAGATTCTCTACATTTTCGAAATTGTCACCAACGTATGTGAATAAAGCCAAATATCTCAATGATTTCAAATGCAACGAACACATATCGAGAATCATAACTGATAGTTCATATATTTTCTCACGACATTGATTATCACGAAATTCAATCGAGAGCGACTCCAGACGAGTCGAGAGAACATTATGAGAAATGATGCAATGGACTGTAAACACACCAACAGATTCCAATTTCAAACAACGTAAATATTCGAAACTATTATCCAAAAGTTGATCAATTTGTTCATCATTGTATTTGTTTGACAGTATGAGAGTAGTAACACACGATCGATCCATCGAAGCAAGAATCTGCAAAATCAAAAATTGAAGGTCATTACTAATTAAATTTTTTATGTACTCACCTGTTGACATTTATCAAGTTTTACTTGACGTAAATCAAGATATTTGCCCATTATTGAACATGCCAATGCTGATAATCGACTATTGAGACCATAAAAAGATTGATAAATACTATAGGTATCGAGATAAGAAAATGTTTCGATGAAGATCTCAGCCGGAAAGTATTCAAATTTGGTAATTACCGATTCAGCCATGGTCGAAAACAAATCTATAATTATTGAACACATTTGAATCTTAGACACATGCGCTACACGACAAGAATATCATCGAGAAAGATATGTCGATGAGTGTCAGCGTGAAGGGACTGTGACTGTTAAAGCGATGGAACCGGTCCGGCAATCCGGCTCCGGTCCGGCCGGTCCGGACAGGACCGGATTTTTGTCAGTTCATCATTACAAAATTGTTGCTTGCACCCAAGAATTTTCTCTACTGAAAACGGCTTTTTTATGATATTTTCAAGTCAGAATAATGTATTTTCGAAAAACTCAATAGATATCTTGTCTTCAACTTGACTATAAATTCTCTTTATATTTCTGTCGATTTCTTTCTTATATATCACTGAATTTAATCTTGATCAAATAATTTATTCACTTGTTCTATTTGGGCAGCTGCCTGAATCAAGAAAAATAAATATTTACGTTTTTGTGTTAGATTTATTATAAATTTGCCTTTTTTTCTTTTTAGAAATAATGATGAACAACAGATTTGATCTGAATAGCTAATTTATATCGATGTTGGGCTCGGCAAGTCGATGCACCCTGCTATAAAATATGAAGGGAGAGTTCTAGTTCCAATTTTTATTTCCAGTTCGGATTAGGAGTGGGGATTTGCTGTTAATTTATATTAATTTTAAATTGAATTTACATAAATTTAAATAATTTTACGAAATTTAAATTTATGTAAATTCAATTTAAATTCAAAATAAATAAAACTTTTTAAAATTTATTGTAATTTAAAATTTCTTAAAATTTATTTTTGGATTTATAAATTTTTCGTCAATGTAAACTGATCGCCCCTAGTTCGGATTTCTGCATGTGACTATTCAATTCCCCCTTCGCCAACATTTTATGTGAACAGATACTTTTATAGTCGGTTATTTTCGCCGGATTTTTGCCAGTTTGGCTGTAAAATTCGTCCAGCCGGTTGTTGGCCGGACCGGACCGGACAGATTTTTTAACCGGCCGGACCGGATTGGACAGAAAAAACCTGCTCGGTTGCAGCTCTGGACTGTTACATGATCAAATCGATTTCTATTCACAATAAGACGGTTGTGCCTCACTCAAACTAAACGTGACTGACTCAAAACTCGATATTACTATTCTTTTATAAGTTCATGTTGTGCAATAATACGATGAAAAATTTTTCTCTCGTCCTCAACTCATTTAGTTTGAATTATATATTAAGTGAAGGTTCGTTTTTTCCGTGTATAAAATGACATATAGAAGTATGAAGAGATGTTTCTCTCTTTCTCTTACTTTTAAATAATATTGTTCACTTATATGTATGTTCTGAGGACGTCTATGACTAAATTGTCTCTCTATTGTGCTTTGAAAGCGTTACGCTAAAAAGCAAAGGTAGAATAATTAACGCTTCAAACAGGTTTTGTTAGTCTCATAAATTCTTGTTCGTTTTTAAAGATAATTAACGTTTTAAGCTCTTTCAAAAGCAAATAGAAAATCTTCAAAGAGTTTATTTTCTACGCTCTTTTAAATAGTTTAGAAAATCTAACTATTATGTGAAAGTTTACTTGTAGAAATCGCACTTTATTCTCACATACAACATGCATGAGTGTCACTGATATTTGATTGATTTTGGACTCAATAATTAGGTTTTTTCTCCAAACAAATACTGTTTTATGAATCCACATAAAAAAGCCGAGTTGATCTCTACATGTTACAAAACCCACCCATACCTTTTACTTTCGTCGAAAATGAAAATCAGTTAAAACATCGTTTCTATTAATTATTCACCTGTCATATTGGAATTTTCTAGGATTTTAAAAACTAGGAACTGACTTTTCACAATCAAACTGATGTTTTGGCTAATTTTATGTTCTTGACATGACCATGAGGAAGACCAGCCTGGAAGTTTTTCAAGCAAGTAAAACTTGTCGGAAGATTTGGTGACGGTTTCTTCTACTTTGATCGAAAATAAAAATATCTCAAAAACAAAAATGATAGAAATGTTGAAGATGATAGTGTATGGAAGAAAAAATCTCTTTTATCCACACTATTCGATCCTCACATTCAATCGATATTGTTTTTTTCGCCATTTTTATTTACCAGTGACACTTTGCTGTTATAATGGTATATGCAACATGATACTACATACCACTACTATCACCTGAATATTAGCTGGTCTATGCTGTCGGAAAGTTGGAAAAACCCAAATTTTGACAGTAAAAAAAGTGCATCATTCACCAATTTCTTATTTTAATTTTGTTGCACAAAAGAAAGCAATCACTCAAAATTACCGTGTATGAATACATCACCTTGTTCGTGAAAAAAAAGAACCAAAATGAAAGTGAGCACAAGAAGTCACATGTATATTATGGCTGCTAGCAATGATTCATATAATTAATTTTGTCATGACATTATCAATGGGCCTGTCGTATAGGTGTCAGCCATAGTTGAATGATAGACTATCAAGAAGTATGTAGATATCATACTTACTATAGAAAGAAATAGAATAGACCTTGAGGTTGATTTCACAAATAGTCAGATTATTGGTACTGATATTTGTTGAAAATCGATTTCTTCAATGATCCGAAAGTTGTATAGGGTGCAGGTGTGTATATGGGTTTTCTTTGCATCCATTACAACAAGTACAGACACACATTTCAATATGCACATCTAAGCATTCCAGTAGAATATTGATCTACATCAAATGACAGAATAAATTATTTTCCCTAGAAAATTTTGAATATATATCTCTCTTTAATAGAAATTATAGAAATCAAGAAAAGTCTAACCTATGGTGTGGATGGCACTGACACTTGTTTCTTAATCTTCATTCTAAATACTCTTCATGCTCATCCTTAAAATAGGAATGGCTTTTGTTCTATCTCCACTTCCAAAAGTAACATGAA